TTGAAGAGCTTGTTTTATGAAATTTTTGGGGATGAACTGGTTGCGTAATATAATATTCTTGCATAATCTTGTTTTCTTATCAACAATTATTGATGAAATTGTTTCATTTTTTTTGGATGATTTTGTTCACTTAATGGTTAACAAAGCATGTAATGGTAAATGCATTGACTCTATGAAACGTGTTCGTATTGGAAGAAATTGGCTGATGAAATGAGTGCATGAAGAAAATGCAACAATTTCATAATTGATAAGAAAATGTTGTGGAATTAGCGAACAGTGAAACAATTTCATTATTACGATGAAACAGATTCATCTACCAATAACATGAAAATGACAAATGTCTCATCAAGCATTACGTTGATTAGTGTACTGATGAAACCGTGAAACCATTTCGATGAAATGGGTGCATAACGACAGAGAAACAATTTCATAATTGTTAAGAACATGTTGTTTAATTATTAGCAAATAGTGAAACAATTTCATAATATTGAAACGGATCTATCTACCGAAAACTTGAAAATGACAAATGTCTCATCTAGCATTATGTTGATTTGTGTATTGATGAAATTATGAAACCATTTCGTTCATGAAATGTAGTAGTATTTTTTTTTATTATTCAAAAGATTTCATTATGTTAAATTGATTATAGTGTGTTTTATTTTTATTGTTGATCTATTTTAATGATGAATGTTATTTTTTTTATAATATTTGAACATAAAATTAATATATTATTTTATAAATGATTTTGTTTCATTAATATTACGATATACATGATATGGTTGCAATTAATATTACCACTACCAAAGTTACCATTTTGCCCTTTTTGGGATTATAAAATAATTTCTTATTTTTTATTAATTTTCTAATATAACCTAAACTAATCTTGACCATTGATCAAGAAAGTGGATGGATGAGATTGGTTTACATGGTTTACACAAATAAGAGCGGTTTTCATTTGATCGCTCATCTCTCTCTCTCTCTCTCTATATATATATACACACACACACACACACACACACACACACACACTTGCATAGCGAGTTGGATATCCATGTTTGATAACCTGGATATCCAACTCGCTATGCGAGCCGGCTAATCATAAGATGACCACCTGTCTTGCAGAAAGTCCGAAGTCACCGCATTTAAACCTCCGTGGCCACAAGGGGATTTTTATTCTTTTTTGGATTTGAACATGGGACCTCGAGGTACTTTTGACCTTTGGAGCCTAGCTCAAACCAATCAGACACCACTCTTAATGATTTATTTCTCGTATATTACACACAGAAGAAAACGACATTGAAWATTAGCTTATGCATATTATGTCAATGGTGATTGATTCTTTCAGCTTTTTAAATATAAACAAATTACACAAATGGTTCATGTATTATTCTCATTTCAAAAAGAAGAAAACGTCTTTGAAACGTTGCCAGGATCGATGCATATACGTTAATGGTGGTTGATAATTTTGCTTTTTTAAAGCTACATTAATAGGGATTGAAGGTTGAGATGGTAGCAAAAACACATGTCAAGTAGTTTGACCGAAACGTGGGTTTTTTTTTCCAACTTAATTTCAATTAAACATAAGAATCCAATTAGAATCATAGAAATGAGAAATAAAAATCCCCTTGTAGTCGTGGAGGTTCAAATATGGTAACTCCGGCCTATCTGTAAAGTAGGTGGTCATCCTGGGATTAGTCGGCTCGCATAGCAAATTGGATATACAGGTTAATAAAAAAAAAAAAAAAGAATCGATACATGCCCTAGACGGTCAAGACATGGGCAAGAAGGTTTGGTGTAAGGTCTTGTTTTATGATGCATGAGTGAAGAAATATAATTGAATCTCTAATCTAACTACCAACGAAATGTATGAGTAACGTCCAGTGATGGATTCAAGATTTTTGTTTAGCAGGGTCACCTTTAAGGCAGACTAAAGACCTGCAAAATCGTCCGATGTGTTTTTAACCTAATTACAACGTTTTCAAGGGAATTTTAAAGTTTTTGGGTTGATTTCGAGGGATTTTTTTTTGTATTTTTGTCGATTTCGAATAACTTTTTTGGTTTTTTTGATTGACTTCAACAAATTTTTTTGGTTAGAGCAACGGTTTCGATTGGGGTTGGGAGCCCATGGAAAAATGTAATGGAGGGAAGTGAAAAGTAAATCATGTAAAACTTAAATTTTAACCTATAAATTTTTTTAAAGTTTTTGACTGAGGTCCCTTCCCCCTCCGTTTTACCATTGCATCCGCCCCTGGTAATGTCATTCCAAGAAATTGTTTTTACTTTTGTGTCACAAACTACTTTTTCCTTTATTGTCTTGCTTCGTATGTTGAATACTATCACCACGATAAAATTAGGTTTATAGGATGCTTAACATTTCTAAGCATTAATGTTCTATATTTAGCTTACAGGACCAAACAATAAAAATCTTATCTAAAAGTGTTACAAAATGTTTATATGACGCTTTTAGGAATTTTTACTAGTTTATTAGGACATTCTTAAAGTAAAGTGTTGTATTAATTATTTTTCAAGTAAATTTTGAAAAGTTGTACAGGACAGTTTTGTTTATACGACACTTGTACAAATCGTGTTCTATAAAATATGTAATACGAGATTTTATTTTAAAACATCCAAAAAACATCCGATAAACTTATTATAATAATTTTAGATATAACACTTTATTATTTGATGTATAAACTGAAAGATACAAAGACGGAAAGGAATGCGACTTTCTTCTTAGTTTCTCCTCCGGTAACCGAGTGGCCTTTTCGAACCGTCGTTCTTCTTCCTGGATCGCTCAATAAAACTCTGAACGTACCTTGTATATAAAATGTTCCCAATAACAATTCCAACCACCATTCCACTTCCAAGTCCCAAAAATGTGACCATCCAATCTACTCTTCCACGTAGGAAGCTGAGGGACTCAGATTTATTGTGATCACTCGTTGCCACTGAATTCCGACAAACCTTAGACAAAGGTTTTCCACACAATCCAGGATTCCC